CCTGGTTGCATCTCTCACGTTGGAAGCTTAAGTAGGATCCAGACGAAGGCCAGGTATTAATGACTCTGGCATCACTGTTTAATTCAAGAGATTGATTAAAATGAATTGGGATTGTGCCTTAAAGCAGTCATTCTCAATGGGAGAAGGGCACGTCCCCTGGGGTTTTATCAGAATCAGCTGAGGGCTGCCATGACCCCAGGGTTCTCATCCTGCCCGTCTGCCCTCCCTCCCAGTGACCTTCCATTTTAATGGAATCCTGGGCCATCTCTCAGGTGTGGGCAATGAAAAAAGGGCTAGAGAAGCTCTGCCTCAAAGAATCCGTAGTGGGGGGTTCCCAGGGGGTCCCTATGGCAACCATGAATGTAATCAACATTTATTGGCCTAGGATACAGCCGTTTGCAAACAAACAAAGAAACGAATAACAACAACAACAAAAGAAAAACAGACATGGTCCCTACTTTGCAGAGCTTCCAGACTAGCAGGAGAGACATGCAGTAAGCAGTCCTTATCAACCAGAAGTGATGTTGTGCCAGGCCAAGGGCACTCTCACCTGTGGCTCTGCAAAGGCTGCCTGCCTTCCAACAGGTGGCCAGCATCTTCTTTGTAGCTAATGCCAACATCAGACCATTGCTCCTCCATTCTCATGCAAAAACCATCGCTCCTTTAGGCCTGAGACCAACTAAATGCCCCACCTGCCCAGTGCAGGCAAGCTTTCGCTGTAGAGATAGGGCAGACAAGTTCCAGGAAGACCATTTCATCTGACAAAGGGTGGGGAGTGCCAGGTCTGTGTACAGGATACTGAATATAAAAGCAGGCCGAGACCCTAGCCTCCTGGAGCTTACAGACTGTTTGAAAAGACAAACAGAAGCTGGCGTTTTCAGTCCAATGTGGTCTGCACTTGGCAGTGCGGAGGGGGTGAGCACAGACCCAGAGTCTAGGAGGGCTCCACAGAAGAATGACAGTCTCGGCTAAGGGTGGAGGGACAAGGGCAGTTGAGAAGAGTTGGGGAACAAGGGATGCTTAGTAGGACCCAGGGATGGATGGTGAGAGGTCAGTACTGGCCTGGTATCTCCCCAGCAGCAGCTGCACCCCAAGTTGAGTATGACTTTGGAACTGACCCCCCTTCTCTCTTTCTGTAGCCGTCCAAGAACAAGTCAACTCCAAGTGTAGGCGGACCAAGGCAAGCCTCCCATCCAGCCAGCACATGATGCCACCCAGAGCTGGGCTCCTTCAGAACAATCTGAGTCCAGGAATGTTCCCACCAAGCGAGCAGCGGAGCCATGAAGGCATGATCTCAAAGTCCCCGGGCAAACAGCAAGGAATGTTCAGCTATAGCCCTCGGTTTCCTATACCTTCCCACCCAGGCCAGAACCCCCTGGGCAGCCTTGGCTTTGTCTGCCAACATATGCAGATGCCCAGGGCCACCCCCTCTGGGATGCCCCTGCCTGGGTTCTATCCCAACCCCTTGGGCAGCCAGCCCCTGAGTCCCTACCAGCTTCGACAGCCCTGTGTGCCAAAAATGCACACCGTGTTCAATGATAACACATGGGCAGCGGCGGCGGCAGCTGCAACCCCAGTGGTCTCGAGGGAACGACCCCCGAGCCAAGTAGATAATAGCTTCCAGCAGCATTTTGATAGCAACTTGATCTTTGCCAAGGCACCTGTGAGAGTCCCCCTGGTAGCCCCAGCCTGCCCATCGCAGCAGGCAGTCATGCCTCCCAGTCAGGGGGCCCCAGGAGGCAGGCCTGGCCAGACTCCAGTACAGAGTCCCGTGCCTATTCTGGATGCTACCAAGTCCCTCCAGCAGGGCATAGCCAGCTTTGGTCCCATGAGTCCCATACAGGGTATCGAGCCACCACCAAGCTATGTGGCTGCTGCCGCTGCCGCTGCCACCACCACTACTGCCTCTGCCATTGCTGTCAGTCAGTCCCCAGGCCCATCCAGTGGAATGGGTCTCCCCTCTAAGCTGCTGACCCATGACTTTCTGCCCCAGCCCTCATTAAACGACCCGATTGCAGCACCTGACTACAATGAGGTGGATTTCACTGACACTGTCGTGAAAGTCCCTGGTGCAAGCCCAGATGAAGACTGGACATGCAACCTGAGGTTGATCGATGACATTTTGGAACAGCAGCATGCTGCTGCCCGAAATGCCGCAGCCAAGAATGCTGGCCAAGTCACCCAGAATAGCCAGAATAACATCCCCCACAACACACGCTGACATCACTCTAGGGAGTGGCGAGAATCCATAGCAAATTCACAGCTGGCCCCAGACAACCACGCGAGTGTTTCCTCATTACAATCTGAGTGGCATCAGCCCATGCCCATCCCTCTCTCTACCTGTGACAAAATGGTAATCTGGTGATTTTTCAAGTTACCTGTACATATTTAAAATTTTTGTAAATGGTTTTCCTAAACATTAATGACAGAAGTATTTATACTTCATTTTGTGACTTTGTAAATAAAGTGACAGCTTTTGTTTCAGTACGGTTGTGTTTATTATGCATTGTTTGTGTTTATTATACATTGTTGCAAAAATGCAGCCTGTGTTGTTCGCTCCAGTGATACTTTATAGGCCAGGTGGCTGAGTCACAATGGAAGATGTGGATGTGACCAAGAGGTGTTGTGCAACTGACGAATGCCAAATAGAAAACCACTTGGCCATTTATTTTGATTTTCACTGAAAATTCGATCACCTTGTTTGATTCTTAATCTCTTTTGCAAAATGTTCAGTCTCCCGCTAGCTCTTTCCTGGTGAGCATATAGCAGAAGCTGTTTTTATCATAAGTGCTACAGAGGAAATTTGCGAGGAGGTTGAGAGAGTTCTGTAGGCTTGGGAGAGGTGACGAGAGAGAGAGAGAGTGTGAGCTGAACACTGTCTGAGCTGTCCACCTTGAGGATCTAGAGTGTCCTCCCATTTAGATGAGAGAAAAACCCAGCTTTGCACCTCTCCAAATGCACCCTTGTAGGGTGCAGGTGAGATAGTTGTTCCTGGTTTAAAGACTTTCAATATTTGTTTTGATGTAAGGCTCTGGTGGTTTGGGGGAAAAGGGTTTGTAAACATTAATACTTGATTTTTGGTTTGTTTTTGATGATTTTTATCTGCAATTATTGTCATGTATATTTCAGTGTCTGTTATAGAAAACCCACACCCACTGTCCTGTAAACTTTTCTCAGTGTCCAGAATCTGTGTAATCACATTTTAATTGCCACCTCGTATTTTGCTTCTATGTTTGAAATCTGGCATCTGTTTCAAGCCAGTGTGTTTTTTCCTCGTTCTGTAATAAACAGCCAGAAGAAAAGTGTCTCTCTTCTCATTTTTCAAGGGGGCATTCAGTACCTACGATCCCATGTCGGCTAAGCCAGCCAGTGCCTTTGGTTCTTTCAGAGGCTATTGATGTCCTGCACATCAGAAAGATGCTGCACAGAAGGGTGAGGGGTGAGAAGTTTGTGTAGGCGCATTGCAGTTCTATCACATCACAGCATAGAAGCTTGTCATTTTGGACCCCAGCCCCTCATTTTATACAGGAGGAAACAGGGGACGAAAGGCCACTAATATAACTGCACTGGGAGCGTGGGGAGACTTGGCACTGAGAATCTAGACTCTACCACCATCTTCTTTCAGCCGAGAGGGTGATGGACCTAAGTAAAGTGCCAAGTCCTCTGATGTAAGGGGACATTGATATAGGTCAGCTGGAGGTGGAGGGACCCTGAGGCAGGTGGTGTGTCTGCCGCATGGGAGAATGAGGTACCCTCACTTCACAAGACGGCCAATCAGACCCTGGTGAAGCCTCTGGGCATCTGAACACCCCCGCAGTGCATGGTCCCATGGTCCCATGACCCTGCCCAGTTCATCCTGAGTGCCAGAGCCAGAAGAGCTTAGTGGGTCCAGGGTGCAGGGGCGCAGGGGGCAGATCAATGTCTCCATGGCTTGGTTTCTCATCCAGGACTCCAGTGGAAAGACTATTGCTCCAGTTTGCCCAGCTGTCCCACTCTGCCCTGCCCCTCCTCCCAGCATTTGCAGCAAGCAGGTTGGCTGCTGGTTATTTCCAATTTAAACTGCACAAAAACGACAGGGACTCCTGTCACTCAACACTAAGGCCACCCCCTCATAGCAAGAAGGTGGCTTTCACAGAGCTTCATCCGAGTTTGGCTTATGGTTGGGCTTCATTTCGAAGAAGACCATAATAAGATAGCTGAGACCGGTGCATCTCCCACGAGGTGCTCAGAGTGTGTGTGATGTGCAGGTGATGGGTCGCAGGTGGAACCACATCTACCTAAAGGTAGCAAGGAAGGTAGTTGGGTTACTCCTTCCCCATGTGCTGTAAAAAAAAATGCAGCTGATGCACCAGTTGGGATCAGACAGATATAATCGCAATGGAGTCCATCACGTTTATCCACCTAACTGGTTGGGACAGTTTATATCCTCATCCTCCAGGTAAAAAAATGTTCCAACACAATGGCATGATTACGGAGCTGAGGGATGCCTGTGAACTGAGACAGGCCTGTCCTGTCCAGTGGATCCTAAAACACTCTGGGAAGATGCCTGTACTCACCACCCAGTGACTGCGAATGAGGGCGAAGATCAACGGGTGGCAGCAGGTCTCCCCAGCCCATGGGCCAGAGGGGTCGTAGAAACATTGCTCAAAAGCTCTGGGTCTCAGCCCAGCTGTTCACACAGATCCCTCCTGCTTCCTACAGTGTTCCTCTTAGGTCTGGGTAATGGTCATGTCCCGTGGCTGTCCCTCAGTTCCAGTCATCCCTCCCTATCATGGTCTCCGCTTCTGTTTCCCGTGCTCTTCACGGGCAGCACCTCCTCAGGAAACCTCCCAGGAGCCATCATCACTTTACCTCAAGTGCTCTAGTGGTACCAGGCTCTAGGTAAGCCCTGGCTTCCCCTGAGGGCCCCACTGAGTCACTTGGGCTCGCCTTTCCTGTCCCCAAGGGGCAGCAGGGTTTGGGACAAGTGCACTTCTTTGGCTCTGTGTTGAACCCAACTGCCCAGTGACTGTTGCTCACAGCCAACCAGTTGGGTACTGAGGCCATGCCTGGTAGATTCCCCAGCCCAGTCCTCTCAGTGGGGCTTCTTCAGCCTGTCAGAGGAATTTGGGGGTCACAGCTGTCACCACTCAACTTTGCTGGGCCTCAGAGCCCCAAAATAAAAGCCCAGCTTGGCCCACTGAGCTGGTTCCATCTCCCATTCCCAGAGGGTTTACTTCCCACCCCTACCATGCGGTGACCTCAAGGCTGAGCGAGTATAAACAGCATTTAGACAGGTCTCTAAGCACTTTGTGCCACCTGACTCCACTCTGGCCTTGCTGTGCCCCAGTAGTCCTTTCTCATCCCCATTCCAACTATGCTCGTCCCAGATTGCTCCTTCCCAGAGACACCAGCTCCAACCATTCCGCCATCCTACTATCAGCCTCTCTTCTGCTGGATTCCTCTCCAGGGTTTTCAACTGGGCCGTGTTAGAAAGCCCCTCAACTCTACAGCCCATCCAGCTCCAGGTCTACCTCTCTGCCGCCCTCCCCTCCCACTAATGCTTCAACCTACAGCTATCTGGCTCAAGTCCCGCCCTCCTTTCCCCCAGTACACTGGTCAAAGTACCAACTTCCTCCTGCCCATGAATCCCATGGAAGATTTTCAGTCCTCAGTGGACTTGCCCCTTCAGCAGCACTAGACTCTGTCTCCTTCCAGAAAAGCACTGCCCTTTGGCTTCTGGGAGCTACAGTCCCCTGGAACCCTTCTTCCTCTCTGGCCCGCAACCTGGCCCTCTCTCCTGCTCTGAAAACCATTCTCTCCTATTCCTTTCATTACTGCCTCTCACTTAACTAGGCCTTCTTCACCTTCTCCCTACCTTCCATGGGCAGAAAAACAGGTTCATGAGCCTGCATCTCAGCATCTGAGCCTGGTCAAGAAGGGCATGGTGTGTCTGGACAAGACCCTAAGTTTCAGTCCCCAACGGAATGTTGGTGGACTGGGCTGCACACTGGGCTCAAGCTCCCTAGGCCCCTTGAAGAAAGAATGCAAGAGCTTAGAGGTTGACGCCCACCCACATGAAAAGGACTCACCCGTATCTTGCTTCAGATAGCAGCCTTGACTGGTGTCCCTCATAGGCCCCCCAGCTTGCACAAGTCTTTTCCTGAGAAGGCCGTGAGGCAGAAGTCACTCAGCTGCCTGTGGCTCCTCAGGAGCTTTCAGGTGACTAAAGGCCTCTCCATGGGGGGTAGTGGCAGAAAGAACAACAATCATTATGGGGGGTGTGTTCTCTCCACATTCCATTTCATCATTCCCTCCCCAACCCCAGGGAAAATGCAAGAAGTCCCCAGGAAGGTAAGTGACACCCCAGGTTCCTCCCCCTCCATTAGAGCTAGCTCAGGTCCATGAAGGCCTCAGGGTAAGGTACTATCTCTCACTTGCCCTTCAGCCTAGAAAGTCAAGGGATCTGGCAGTAGACATACAAACACATACTGTTGTCTTCTCCAGTGTGTGGTCAAGGATGTTTCAGGCAGAGGGAACAGCAAATACAAATGCTAGGAGGAATGGAAAAGAGGCAGGGGCTTGTGGCACAGTGAGCAAGAGGAGGGGAGGCAGGAAAGGGAGTGCAGGGGTGGGCAGGGCCAGAGCACACAGGACCCTGGAGGCTGTTTCGATTCCACAAGGGAAGCCTTCAGTCACTCTGGTACCCGTGTGGAAGATGGATTCCAGCATGAATGAGGAAGGCCAGTAAGGAAGGCCTCTACCTCCAGGGCTTCTCCCATGGACATCTCCACTCAGGAAGTTCAAAGGGAACTCCTCAACATTCCTCCAAGCATGGGTGTCCTCCTGCTCACTGACAGGCAAGCATCATACCTCCACTGCCCTACCCCTAAAGGCCCCAAATCCACTTGGTCTCCAAGTCCAGAACCTGCGACTCATCCCGAATATTTGTCTTTCTTTCGTCCCTTCTGTATCCTGTAATGATGGGATTTCTCCCCCAAATTCATCTGCAAAATCTCTGGAATCACAATAAAAATCCTAGCAGGATTATTTTCTAAAACATGACAAAATGATTCAAGGTGATTCACCTGGAGGAGCAACAAAACAAAAAGAGCCAGGAGATTTCTAAGAAAAGAAAAATCAAGAAAAGATTCTTAACACTACCAGATGTATCATAAAGCTACAATATTTAAAACAATGTGGCCCTGATATAGAAGCATAAACGGGAACTAAGACAATGAGAAATGTGGCATTTCAGATCAGCGAGGGAGACTCAATATACGGTGTTGGAAAAACTAACTTTCCATTTGAACAATAAATCTGAGTCCTCTACCTCCCTCCTGACATCAAGATAAATTTGCATGATTTGGAGACTATATAGGGAAAAAAATGACCCATAAAAGCACTATAAGAAAACAAAGGTGGATATTTTTATAATATCAGGGTAGATTAAGCTTCTCCAATCATGATATGAAACATAAACCATAAAGGAGTGCTGATGAAATTGCCCACATAAAATTTAAAAACTTGCATACAGAAAAATGTACCCCAGAGTTAAAAAAAATCAATGACAAATTTATAAAAAATATTTGGAACATATTACAGACGAAGGTTGATATGCCTAATACTTATAGATAAAAGTAGTTAATCGTCTACAAAAAGACAAGTAGAACAATTTCATAGCAATTTCATTCATAGTAACCCAAACCTGCAAACAGCTTAGGTGTCTATCAATAGGAGAATGGATAAACCAATTCTGGTATCTTTGTGCAGTGCAATAATACTTATCAGTACAAAGAGATACTCTTCAGCGATGAAAATGAATGGACTATCGATACAGGTTATGATGTGCATAAATTTCAAATGCATTATGCTGAAAAGAAGCCAGACACAAAAGTGTATTTACTGTATGATCCCATTTATATAAAATGCTAAAATAGACATAAGTAATCTATGGGGAAAAATCAGAATGAGGCTCTTTCAGTAGCTGAGCCTTAGGGGCACCCAGCAGGCAGCAGCAGGCCTCGGGTACCCTGGGTCTTTTGCTGAACTGCCCTAGGCCCAAGACTGGTGGCAGCCAGCCTTGGTTCGCAGAATGACTTCTCTCATGAGCTTCCAGGTCCAGCACAGGCAGCAACCAACCATGGATCACACTATAGCTCTTACCGAGTGGGCCTGAGTTGGTCATGGACAGTGGCTGACCTTGGCCACCAGAAAAAATATATTAGAACTGAGAACTGAATTCAGTAAAGTAGCACGATACAACATTAATATTCAGAAATCAGTTGCATTTTATACACTAATAACAAACTATCAGAGAGAGAAA